AGGCCCATTGTCTGACAAGAGGTCGTGGGTCCAGGAAGCTACTGGCAATAAGCAATATTCATGTCCACCTGAAGAACAGTGGACCTCGACATTGACCGAGGGTCCCACTCTTCTTAGTCATTCCAGAATGTCCCTACCCTCTCTTGGGCAGGGACCTGCTTGCAAAGATTGGAGCCCAGATCCGCTTCCTCCCAGAGGGCCCCCAAGTAAAAGATAGACAAGGAAATATGATGCATGTGTTGACTGTAAAACTCGAGGATGTGTACTGCCTCTTTGACCACCCAAAAGAGAATCTCAGAGATATGAACTGGTGGCTGAACCAGTTTCCACAAGCATGGGCAGAAACCACAGGCATGGGTGAGGCTAAGAACTAGCCGGCTGTCTGTGTAGAGCTAAAAGCCTTGGCCACTTGAGTAACAGTCCATCAGTATCCAATGAGCAAGGAAGCACAAGATGGAATTAGATCTCATATCCTCAGATTGCTAGATTTGGGGATACTTAAAAGGTGTCAGTCAGCATGGAACACACCCTTGCTTCCAGTATGAAAACCAGGTACCAACGACTACTGACCGGTGTAAGATTTTCGTGAGGTAAACAAAAGGGTGATGGACTTACATCCCACAGTACCAAACCCATATAACTTGTTGAGTTCTCTTCCTCCAGAAAGGACTTGGTACACTGTACAGGACCTTAAAGATGCCTTCTTCTGTCTCTATCTAAGCCTGAAAAGCCAACCAATCTTCGCTTTCCAATGGAAGGACCTGGAATCAGAAATATCTGGACAATTAACATGGACTCAGCTTCCATAGGGGTTCAAGAACTCACCTACCACTTTTGATGAAGCTTTACACCAGGATCTTGCCCCGTTTAGAGGAGAAAACCCCCAGGTAACCCTTCTTCAATTATAGATGATATCCTTCTGGCTGCCCCTAACAGAGACACGTGCCTCGATGGAACCCGTCGATTACTAACTGAACAGGAAAAACTAACTGAACTGGAAAAGCTGGGTTATAGAGCCTCTGCTAAGAAGGCCCAGATCTACAGGAAACAAGTCAGTTACTTGGGGTATCTGCTCAGAGATGGAAAAGGATGGCTGTCAGAGGCAAGAAAAGAGACTGTGTTTCACATCCCCCCTCCCTCAAATGCCAGACAAGTAAGGGAATTCCTGGGGACAGTGGGATTCTGTCAATTATGGATCCCAGGGTTCACCAAGGTGGCAGCGCCCCTCTATCCATTGACTAAAAGTGATAGGCCATTTGAGTGGGGAGAGAAAGAGCAAGCTGCTTTTGACACCATCAAGATGGCTCTTATGCCAGCCCCTGCCCTGGGACTTCCTTATGTGTCCAAGCCTTTCTACCTGTACGTGGTTGAGAATGGAAGGGTAGCAAAGGGAGTCCTAATGCAGAAGCTAGGGCCCTGGAAAAGACCAGTGGCATACCTCTCAAAGAACCTAGACTCTGTAGAAGCTGGGTGGCCTGCCTGCCTGCGAATTGTGGCGGCAGTAGCAACCCTAGTCAAAGATGCTGACAAGCTGACCCTGGGGCAGGATTTGGTGGTGACTGCTCCTCATACAATGGAGAGCATGATCCACCAGCCCCCTGATTGCTGGCTCACTAACATCCAGATGACTCACTACTAGACTTTGCTACTAAATTCAGACAGGATCACTTTGACCCAGGCCACTGGGCTGAACCCAGCCACCTTGCTGCCAGACTCGAATATCAGAGCACCAACCCATGACTGTCAGCAAGTGCTTGTGGAGGCACATGGCTGGTGAAAGGAATTGAGTGATCAGCCTCTGGCGGATGTTGAGGTAACCTGGTATACTGATGGTAGCAGCTACCTCGAAAATGGGAAAAGGAAGGCTGGGGCCACAGTGGTAGATGGACAAAAAGTAATATGGGCATGGGCACTACCTGAAGGTACCTCTGCCCAGAGGGCTGAGCTGATAGCGCTGACAAAAGCCCTAGAATTGAGAAAAGATAAGAAGGTTAATATTTACACAGATAGTAGATATGCCTTCACTATGGCCCATGTCCATGGGGCTATCTACCAGCAGTGAGGCCTCCTCATGTCAGCTGGAAAAGAAATTAAGAATGACTGAGATTTTAGAGCTACTTGGGGCACTACACCTGCCCTCTAAATTGAGCATCATCCACTGCCCTGGCCACCAAAGAAAAATAACATGGCTGACAGAGAAGCAAGGAGGGTAGCAGGTGAAATGTTTTTTGCCATGGCTGTGAAAGAAAGTAAAGCTGAACCCATACCTCCATTTGTATATATGGCCCAAGATTTGGCCTTAATGACTAAAGTCGAAAAGGAGTTTGATAAGAACTTGAGGGTATGGAAAACCCCAGCTGGAAAGATAATTCTGCCCCAGAAAGAGGCAAACTTTTATGACACTCATTGTCATAAAAGTAATATGTGAATCTTAGTCACCTAGAGACCAGACCTGAGAAGGTCAGCCTTTGTGGTCCTTTGTGGTTGCCCTTGTGAACTCTGTATAAGAACTGCTCCCAGCTTTTGTTCCGGGCTCTCTTGCCTGCACACAAGAGTGTCCTAGTGCACTGGTATCATTAAACCTCATGTTGTTGCAGCAAATCCTCTGTCCATGTTTGATTCTGCAGGAGCACGTCCTGTTTGTTTTGGATCTTAGAGTCCAACAAGATCAGGAGCTAACAGATGCATCCACGACTAACAGAAAACCAGAGATGTAAGAGAGAATCTCAAGTGTAGAATATACCATAGAAGATATTGGCACATCAGTCAAAGAAAATAAGATAAAACATTCCTAACCCAGAAGATACAGGAAATTTGGAACACAATGAAAAGACCTATTAAGAATAATAGGAAGAGAAGAGGGTGAAGATTCCCAGTTCAAAGGGCTAGAAAACATCTTCAACAAAATCATAGAAGAAAACTTCCCTAATCTAAAGAAAGAGATGGCCATAAAGGTACAAGAAATGTACAGAACACCAAATAGATTAAAAGCTGTATGGGAAAAAGGCCAAGTAACATATAAAGGCAGACCTATCAGAATTACACCAGACTTCTCAAGAGAGACACTTAAAGCCAGAAGATCTCGAACAGATATCATACAGACTCTAAGAGACCACAGATGCCAGCCCAGACTACTATGCCCAACAAAACTCTCAAATCACTATAGAGGGAGAAACAAAGATATTCCATAACAAAACCAAATTTAAACAATATCTTTCTACTAATTCAGCCCTACAGAGGATACTAGAAGCAAATCTCCAAAACAAGAAAGGTAACTATACTCAAGAAAACACAAGAAATGAACCATCTTACAACAAACCCAAAAGAACACACACACACACACACCTCCAACAACAAAAATAACAGGAATTAACAATCATTAATCTTAACTATCTCTTACCATCAATAGACTCAATTAAAAAATAAAACGTCACAGGCTAACAGACTAAATATTCAAACAGGATCCATTATTTTGTTCCATACAAGAAACACAGCTCAGTAACAAATACAGACACTACCTCAGAGTAAAGGACTGGAAAGAAGTTTTCCAAGCAAAAGGGTCCCAAGAAACAAGCTGGAGTCGCCATTCTAATATTCAATAAAATAGTCTTTCAACCAAAATTACTCAAAATTGATGGAGAAGGGCACTTCACATTCATCAAAGGAAAAATTCACCAAGATGAGTCTCAGGGCTGAACATCTATGCTCCAAATGCAAGGGCACCCACATTTGTAAAAGAAACTTTACTAACGCTCAAACAAACATTGAACCTCACATAATAATAGTGGAGAACTTCAGTACCCCACTTACACCAATGGACAGGTCATTAAAACAGAAACTAGACAGAGACACAGTGAAACTAACAGAAATTATGAATGAAATGGGTAGCTACAGACCATTTCATCCCAAAACCAAAAAATAAACCCTCTTCTCATCACCTCATGGAACCTTCTCCAAAACTGACCATATAATTGGACAAAAAGCAAGCCTCAACAGATACAAGATTATATTAATCACATGCATATTATCAGATCACCAGGGACCACAGCTATACTTTAATAACAAAAGCAATAGAAAGCCCACATACTCATAGAAACTGAACAACTCTCTAAAAACACCTGCAAATCACTATGCATTCAGTGCTTTTCCTGTTCTTTTATTACTATGCTTACATGTATTCATAGGATATCTATGTTCACCCAACATTTTCTTCAAGTTATTTTCTTAAACAAAAACTGATCAAACAAAAATTTGATGATGGGAATTTTTGTCATCAGGAAACATTAAGCAAAACTTGACTTTTAAATGTTTTTATTATTGGCTACTATTGTCAAGGTTCCACAGCAATTTTTCAGGTAATTATTTTTAATGATTCCTGTTTTTCATTGCTTTTTGTTTCCTTGAGAACTTCTTAGGACAAACTTGAATACAGGGCAATGGTGGTGGCAGATTCCATTTCACAGAATATTTCTTTGTTCACAGTGAACCCATTTTGACACAGAAGTTGGCATTTGTGGACACGGAAAGTGATGCAAAATTTTCTGGTGAACCAAGTCTCTGTATTCTTCACAACTTTGGAAGAAAAAAAAGGATTATTTTCCACATTTCACAGATGCTGAGGCACCAACGTCAGGAAGGTCACATAATTTGTAGTCTCTGGGTGTGACAACGACAAAAAAAGTCTCTCTAATTTCAAAACCCCTGTCACCTGAAGTGGCCTATAAAACCCCAGAAAGAATCCAGCTGTGGCACTGCTGCTGTCTCCTCTCCCGCACTTCAGTCATCCTCATGAGGCCAACTGGCTGCAACTTCCTGATTTTCCTCCAGGGGCCGATGGGATTGGGGCTCACCCGGTAAGCAAAGCTGTTCCGTGGAGGTCAGACGGGCGGTTGTCTGGGCCTCAGTCACCAGTGCGGGGTTCCCCGCCCTCTCAGGAGCAGACGTCCCGCCCAGAGCACGGCCCTGACCCTCGCCGGGACACGGTGGCAGAGTGGGCCGGCGCCGCTCCGAGCCTCTGCCAGCGGCCTAGCCAAAGGCCCGCCGCCATGTCCCGGATACTGGTCGTGGGCGCCGGGCTAACCGGAAGTCTGTGTACCGTGCTGCTGAGGAAGCTAGTAACCGCCCCCGTGTACCTCGCCCTGTGGGAAAAGACTGGGGACGTAGGTGAGTTGTAGGACGGCCAGAGCATGACAGGCCTCTCCTCTTGGGCCGGCCACCCAATCGCTCCGAGGAGAAAAGCCCAATGGTGACCTCTCCCTGGCCGCTGCAGCGCGCCCTCCATGTGCGCGCCGTCACGTGACTCGAGGCTGCCGCAGCCGGAAGGCCGCTACTGGCGGTGCGGAGAGCGCCGGGCCCGGGGCCCTGCCCAGAGGCGCGGAGAGGGCGGGACCCGGGGCCCTGCCCACAGGCGGCGCGGAGAGGGCGGGACCCGGGGCCCTGCCCAGAGGCGGCGCGGAGAGGGCGGGACCCGGGGCCCTGCCCAGAGGCGCGGAGAGGGCTGGCCCCGGAGCCCTGCCAAGGGAGGCTTGTGTCTGGCAAGCGTTGGCCCACCGGAGCCCTGTGGGCTAGGCTGCTCTGTGCCATTGCAGCTTTCTCCAGTCTGCAGATCTCCAAATCCACCTGGACCAAGACTTGCCAGATGTTAGGGGCTGGAGAGATGGCTCAGTGGTTAAGAACACTATCTGCTCTTCCAGATGGCCTGAGTTCAATTCCCAGCAACCACGGGGTGGCTCACAACCATCTGTAACAGATCCTGACTGAAGAACCCGTTTTTACTCATTGTGGCGTTCCATCCGTTTAGTTTTATTTATATATTACTTCGTTTATTTGTTCAGATTAACACAGTATGTGCTAGTAACATTGTAAAGCAGCGATGTATTATTCATGAGTTTCATGAGTCTCTTATTTCCTCAAATTAAAAAAAAAAAAAAACATGACCAAATACCCAGGACAATGAATGATATAATGACTTTAGGTTGCGTTAATTAGTTCAATGTATTTGGACAAAGATAATGAAGCAACCAAGCTAGAGTGAGTGGTATAATTTCAAAAGGTTCATTTATGACTGACAATTGCTTATGAATTATTTTAAGGGGGAAGAATGGCTACTACCAGCAATCCTCATAATCCCCAATGCATAGCTGACTTGGGAGCTCAGTACATCACCTGCACTCCTCAGTATGCCAAAGAGCACCAAAAGTAAGTTTGTCACCAGGAGTCTTAGTAGATACATATATGGTGTAAAATGATACAAATCGTCCATTCTAAAACATTTTAAACTTGGCCTCTTATGACAATGAAATGTTCATATTGTCCTTATGAAGAATATATATGGGACAAGAAAAGGGGAGCTCAATAACTTATAGTTAGTTGTTGGTGTGGAAGAGGGCAGATAGTAATGAAAATTGGAATTTCTAAGCACATTAAAAATGGGGCATATACTTTTCAATGTACTTTTCTTGTTTATAGAGAGAAATAGGACTTGGCTAAGGTCAGCAGATTTGCAGATTCTTGAATCATTTCTGTTCTTCAAGTTTTGTTTAACATCATATACACTGAGTTAATCGTATGAGGATTTATACTGTGATTTGATTTTTATTGTCTAATGGTTAGATAAGGCAAGACAATTGCAGAGCTAGCCTAACTATACATTTAATGATTATTGCAGTTTTTATGAGGAGCTGTTAGCTCATGGGATTTTGAAGCCTCTGACATCTCCCATTGAAGGAATGAAAGGGAAGGAAGGAAGTTGCAACTTTGTTTCTCCTTATGGAGTTTCTTCCATTATCAAGTACTACTTGAAAAAATCAGGTGGGAACTGGATTTTCTCTGTCTCTTAGGATAAACGTTGTGGGCTAAATGCTAGTATCGTATAGATTATGAAAATAGTTAAACTCTAGATCAGCCTTTCCTTCCTCCAAATAAGCCTGGTCTCAGTTTAGAGTGTGTGCTCTTTTACCAATGTTTGTTTTCCTATGTATGAAAATAAATCTGTCACAATTTACTATTAATCTGTTTATACTCATTTCCTTAAAATATGAGCAAAGGGGATTCTTTTACAGAAACTATTCAGTATCTTTTTGTTTTATATCTTTGGTGTGTTTTTTGTGTCAATAAATTTAATTTGCTTTCTTTTCTTTAATGGTATCCAAAATAGTATAGTATGTGTGTATAATCATTTATTCAACTTTCTTGTGTATTTATATTTTGAGGATTGGGAAGTTATCTTGGTTTTTGAGTATACAAAAGCACTCTTCTGTCCTGCACCTTGGCATAACAGTAGGATGGATTGAATCCAATAGGTTGTGCTGCTCTTGAAGACCAACTCATTGGTAGTGAATGACAATGTTCCTCACATGAATATCATACCACCCACAATGGGTTGGGCTCTCCCTCCATCAATTAATATTTAAGAATATGTCCTATAGCTGGTTTTTATAGAGGCATTTTGGTTTTGCTTTTTGTTGTTGTTTACATTTTACCATTCTTAGTTTTGAAAGTGTTTAATTATTTCATAATCAGAGATATAGTTCATATATACACACCATGGAAGCAATAGGATTGTCAATATAGTTAATCTTCTGTGTCTGCATCTCAAAATTCCCAAGTTAAAACACTGAAAAAAAATATCTCACAGCTCTGCTTTCCTACTGTTCTGTGTTTTTTCAGTTGTCATTGTTACTGGAGTGGGATAATTCAAAGTGACAAAAGGACCTTAACTATCATTTAGTAACTGTCTTGTTTGTTTCCATTCTTGAGATAGGGTTTCTTTTTAAAAGATAGTTTCTTTTGCAGACCCTAGTTCTAACTGCTTTTGCACAGTAATATCTACTTTTACCATTCTCTTTCCCGTTCATTTGTTTACTTTTTCTAAAATTGATGTGAAGGAAGTAAGCCTGTGTAGCTCTCTCACAGTACTCCCTGCTGAGTAACTGTGAAGTTTATTTATCCAGTACAATGTTCTTTCAAGGGATGCTAGAAAGAAGCATACAAACTATAAATGGATATTCCTTTGTCTACTTTAATCAGTACATTTAAGTTTCTTTCTAATGTCTTCAGATCTCATCAAACATTTCCAGGTGCTACTGATTAAATGAAAATCTGTGGGAAATGATACAAGAAAAATTTGCTCCTATATTCCTCCTTAAAATGGAGGAGAATGGATAGGGACATGGCTTAGAGGGTAAGAGGCTTGCTGTGAAGCAAGATGCCCTGCATTTAAATCCCCAGAGTCCACATAAAGACTGGGTGTGGCAACAGGTGCCTTTACCCCAAGCAGAGGCAGGGAGATCTCATTTGACAGCCAATCTAGCTGAAACGGCCAGCTTCAAGTTCAGTGTGAACTTTCCTCGAAACATTAGGTAAAGAACATCTGATAGACTCCTCTTCCGGCCTCCACATGCTTAAGCACAGATAGGTATGTCTGTACACAAACACACACACACACACACACACACACACTGGATGGAAGTTGGAGATGAAATATAATAACTTTAGAAACACATTTACTTTTAGAAAATGTTTGATCTTATTAGTGTTCTATCTATACAGATATGTGCAAAATTAAAATTTTTCATTAAATAGCATGTACAGAATGTTGTAGAGTTCTGTCCTCTGGACATTATGTGGATGTTCAGTCTTTCAAATGTTAGCAAGATATGATTATTTGCCCAAGACACTCCCAAAGCTGTTCCCAGTAACACTTCCTCATGGAGCTGATGGTAAAGACATTATGAAGCATCCCTGAGGATGTTTAAGTGGTTAGTGTAGCTACCTGGGTGTTTTCCACCTTTTTATAATTACCATAATTAAACTCATTAGTTTGCTAACTTAGACTTGGATTGAACTGTTTCTTGGTATATTCTTATGCTCTCTTGATTGAATAGGAAAAGGGTCACCCTGAGAAACTAGAAAGTAGAGACATAATTCCTGCCTGTTAATGTATAGTGTAGTGGTTGGGTAGAGAGACATTAAAGTTTACCTTTAATAAAAATATATACAGCAAATGTTAAGAAGGATGTGAATGTCATGAACAGATATTTGGTAAAAAAAAAAAATTACCTAATGTGGCAAAGATTTCAGAGAGGTGAGCTGAAAAGATATGTCAGGGAAAATGTCTCAGAGAAAATGACATTTCATGGATACTTTAAAAGTCAACAAGTGTGAATTAGGGCAGGAGCCAAGTGATTAGAGTTCAAGAGAGCAGGAACTGGAGCTGTCACGAAGTACACATAGCTAAGTGCATCCAAGAAATTAAAAATTCACCTTGACTGGGCAGTAGTTTGAAGGAGAGAGAGAGTGGGGAAGTGAAGTACAAGATTAAACTGGGCTCCAGCATTAAGTGCTTTGTACACTGTGTTGGAAGATTTTGCACTTTATCTCAAGTGCAGTAGAAAGCTTTTTTTTTTTTTTGCTTTTTTTTTCTTTCTTTTTTTTTTTT